TGACTTGCACAGAAGACAGATGTAATTGTGCGACGATAATGCCAGAATCTGCAGTATGTTGGCAGCTATGTTAACTCAGCATTGTTTTGCAACAGGCTGTTCTTACTATGGCAGTGTGATAAGCACTGCAACATTCTGACATTGTCTTTGTGGACATGGGAACCTCAGAAGCCACTCATTGCAGAGATAGTTTATAATTTTTTGTTGGCCCATCTGATGTGGGTGATTATGTTCAACTATATATAATATTTTTTTTGCATAGGAATGGCTTTTCAGGCTTATAATAATCTTAGAAAGGTACATGTATTCATTAGCAGAAACCTGCTCAGGGTTTGTTTGTTTTTTGGGACAAATCCTATTAATCAAGTTAAGTCTGAAAGTAACAGTTCAACGTCTAACAAAACTCTTTCACCGTACACTGATAAACGTATATCCAACTCTTAAGGTAACGGGTTAGGGCTTACGTGGCTTTCTTAGTGGAAAGAGTTATTAATACAAATTTGAAAGTAACAGGTCGAAAAAATAAATAACGGTTTGACGTTTCAGTTGTGACTCCATTTATTTGGGAGTATGTTAACATGAGGGCTTCAGGCATGATGAGTGAAAGTGTAACATCCTGGTATGGATGCCTTCTCTCGTTGACAACTATTTTGTTTTTGAACTTATGTTTTATTTAAGAACCATTACCTGTGCGGGATGTTATCTTGAGTCATGAAAGTCCCTCAGTATTATTGGCCTCCTGGAGTGAATCCCCAGGCGGGAAAGATGTCTACCAGTTGGTTCTCTACCACATAGATTCACAGGCTCTTGTCAAGAATGCAACCGTTGCTAGAGGAACCACCACTTTCCGCTTTGAAAAGCTTTTACCAGGCAGTGAATACGCCCTCCGTATCACCACTTGGGCTGGATATTACAAAGCAAGCACCAATGCACGAGGATGGACAGGTATTGGGAAATGGATAGATTAACCAGTAGGCTAGAGAATAAAATCAATTATGTGCAAGTGAAAGTATTAGCAGAATCCATCCAGCTGTACCAATAGGCCCCTGTCACCTGATTATGAAACATGTATGTTTCATAAATAGTTTGTGGGGTAGGGATATAGAAATTTAAGTTAGCATTATTGAGCCAGACTTGATAAGCCCATAAGAAGCTCATGCAATAGCCAAAAATCTATACCATCTTCAGATAAACATCAAGACAGATTTTTTTTCTTTTGAAGCAAAGCTGCGCAGTTTGAAGTATATCTGAAAGATTTGTGTGCAAAACCCCTCCAAAAGTTATTTCAAATTGTAATATTAAATGATACAAGAAAGAAACAATTCACTCTAATGAAATATATTTCATTTCATTAATTTTAAGAGTTTAGTTTAAATGTCAACATAATTAAGCCAACTTTGATATTTGTCCAAGTCAAACAAAGGCCATTTTGATCTAGGAAAGGTATATGTCAGTAGGTTGAATTTTAAAAAAACCTTCCAGATTCAGCTAGTTTATGAACATATTTATAAGGTAGCTGCAGTTCCATGTTCCCAAGACTAATTTATCAATGCAGGCTACAACAAAGGTATCTAAACACTCTTTCTACCTAAGGAGGAATCTCACTCCTGAGAGACACAGAGAGAAAACAGGGTTGTCGAGGGTCACGAGGGTTCCGTAACTGTAAGGTCTTGTTGTTAAGGTCGAGGTCGAACTGACGGAGTACCTGATTGAGTCTCCCTCGTCTTACCGATATAAAGTGAGACGTCTTGGACGTGTACCCTGCTGACAGCAGAACAGTGTCACTTAAGAGAGGCTTAACTAATTATACCTTCCAGCATTTGGAGCCTGGAACATTCTATCAACTGGAAGTTAAAGCCATGTCTGGGCCTTACCTGGTTAAGGGTCCCAATATCACTGCTTATACATGTAAGTATGTAGCAAGCTATTTGCTTACAATACTTGGCTGCCGGGAAGGAAGAAGGAGATTCAGCAAAGGTAGGAGAGCAGACCCTATGAATCAGATGAATTTCAGAAGAGGTTCACCTGTGTGAGAATAGAGAGTTTTTGTTCTAAGAGGCCAAAAGCGTTATCTATTATTGCTTTATAAGGATAGCAAATACTCTATATGAATAGATGGAATTTTTAGGCTGGTTATAAAGACAGACTTACAGTGTTTGTTCTCTATATATGTTTCTCTAGTACAGGAGATCCTCCAGAATTGTCCGTTTTTATAGGTACACTATATATATTTTATTTATGTAGTCACAAGTTTAGAATTTCAAAAAGCTAATTGGATGTACTTTCATTTAACTTACCTGCCGCAATTGATGTTTACTTTTTAAAGCAGGTAGTCCCTTCAGATCCCTTTGCCTAGCATTAAGCTATCTCTGTGTTCTAATACTAATATTTTCAAGTTTGCAAGAAATACTTTTTCTGTTCATTTTTCATCAGTATGACTCTCTCCTGGCATTTCTACATCTATGAAACACACTTTTTTATTTTCAATAATTATTGTCTGGTATGTTGTGTTTCAGGTATCTGTATTTTTTCAATTAGTCTGTACTTTTTCACTTTACTGAAATTATTTGAATTCTTTCACAATTTTTTGTTTGCATTACTATTAATGGACATTGGAGATGTCTGCCTTCTCAGTTGACATCTGACAGTTTGTTTGAAGCATCTGATAGCAAGGCAATTACCATTATAGCTCTCAGCCTCACTGAAGAGAGAGAATTTGTTCCAAAGGGAAATTATTATTGTTGTTGTGACAATTGTTGTTGGAAATTGTTATTATTATTGTTTTACTTTCTGGAATTCAGTTCTTGTTGGAAATCAACATGATGGAAATTGAGTCTTTTATCCCCCTTTCAATTTTTATATTCAAAAGACTTCTTTGAAGTCTGTGTCCCCTACAGCCATTATGTTTTTAATTAACACTGTTTCACATTTTTCTGCATATTGGATTAGATTCATATTCTAAATATATCCTTATCTATTTGAGCTATCCAGAGCAGTAAAGATCCATCCTGATTGAGTATTGAGTTGGAAGTGGTCTGGAAAAATATGCCTGTTTTGATACTTCTGTCTCTCATTATAGAGTCTATTGTACTAAGTAGATCTTCTAGCTTCAGGGATGAGATAGAGAACCAGGAAGTATGTGAGCAGTTGAGAATTTGAAGAACTATGATTGATTGATTAAGTGATAGATCTTTAGAAGGTTTATGTATCAGTAGTTTCTTCTTTGTGTGAAATAAGGGAGATGAATTGTGTGAAATAAGGGAGATGCATTCTACTCAAGACTTGCCCTATTTAATGGTCTCCAGATGGATTGAATTGAATATGTTTTTTAACAAAGTGTGATTATACACATGAAGTAATTGTCTCCAGTGCAGAAGCTCTTGGTGTACATGTAAAGCAACAGAATCATCATCATCATCATCATAATATTAATACTAATAACAGGGAGGAGTAAGAAAAATAAGGATAAATAATTTATTAAAGTCATACTATATGGTAAATATACATAGACAGTAGACAACACTGTGAGAATTAGGTGTTCAGCAGATTGATGGTGTGAGAGAAAAAAATGTCTGTGTCTAGTTGTTTAGGCCTGCAATGCTCTGTAGCGCCATCCTGAGGGGAGGAGTTGAAACAGTTTATGTCCAGGCTGTGTGGGGTCTGCAATATCTTCTCAGCCCACCTTTTGACCTGTGCAATATACAGGTCTTCTTTGAAAGGCAGGCTGGTTGCAATTGTTCTTTCTGCAGTCTTAACTATCCGTCGGAGGCTGTACCTGTCCTGTCTGAAATACAAATGACAGATTCAATAATTTCTCTATAAAACTATTAATAGCTTCTGGGCTGTCTGAATTTCCTGAGTTGACACTGGAAGAACATTTTTTGTTGTGCCTTTTTAATGATGGTTCTAATGTTAAGTATCTATTTCAAATCCTGGGAGATTATAGAACCCCAAAATTTAAAGGACTCTACTGCTGATATTGTGCTGTCGAATATGGTAAGAAGTGATAAAATAGAAGAACTCCTCCTAAAATCCACTCTCATCTCTACAGTTTTAGGTGTGTTCAGCTCCAGATTGTTACAGCTGCATGAATCATTGGGCCAGTTGTTCAACCTTCCACCTATATGTAGACTCATCATTGTTTCAAATGAGTCCACTGACCATTGTATCATCTGCAAATTTCCAAACTTTAACAGAGGGGTCCCTTGATGTGCAGTCATTGATATAGAGCAGGGGTAGGCAACCTTGGCTCTTTTATGACTCATGGACTTCAACTCCCAGAATTCCTGAGCTAGCATGGCTCAGCTTGGAAACCTCTCCCTTTCCCCTCAGCATGGCTGGCTCAGGAATTATGGGAATTGAAGTCCACGAGTCATAAAAGAGCCAAGGTTGCCTACCCCTGGTATAGAGAGAAAAGAATAATGGAGACAGCACACAACCCTGAGGGATGCCTGTGCTCATTGCCCGGGTACTAAATGTAATTTTCCCCTAGCCTCACTTATTGCTTCCTATTTCTCAAAAAAATGATTATCCACCTACAAGTATGAGTAGGTATAGTGAGCTGGATCAATTTAGAGTAGAGAATTTCTGGAATGATGGTATTGAGCTGAAGACCACGAAAAGGACCAGTGCATAGGTTCAAGTTGTTGCAGAATGTAGTTTAATAACATATTGACAGCATCATCTGCAAGGCATCTAACAGATAACTTGTATTAAAGTACATTATCTCTTTTATCAGTAGCCCCCAATGATGTTTGATGGAATTATGTAACACATCTCGAGGATATCTAGTTGGGCATGATTAATCGGAATGATTTCTAAATTATTTACTTATTATGAATGTTGAATCTTCCTTTCATCTTTTCATAGACCCCCTGAAACCAGACAATGTATATTTGATCAACTATGGCAAAGATAGCACTTTGAAAGCTTCGTGGAACTCAGTAGCTGGTAAAAGAGAATCTTATTTGGTGATTCTGCAAAAAGCAGAGGATGGCATTATGGTCAGAAATGTATCCGTGGGAGGGAACAGCACATATGTCATCTTTAATGACCTGGCCCCTGGAAGCCACTATACTGCTTGGGTTGCAGCTATTGCTGGGCCCCATAAAGCAACAGCAAAAAGCATCTCTGCCTGGACTTGTAAGTAAGAGCTGAACTTCAGATCTTAGAAGAAGAAATGGGGAAGAGTGGTTGCAAATTAACCTCTAAAATACCTCCCTGAAAATGTTTGATTTGAGGGGGATACTGGCTGAGAGAAGTAAAGATCCATTATCTTACACTCAGAGATTGTCCTCCAGGACTGTGGGGGTGGGTGGGTGTATATTTGCATTTGGTTCCTGGGGTCAGTACCTAGGACATTGTGGAATGGCAGCAAGAGCCAACAAAAGGCAGTGACATAAAGTGGGTTCGCCCAAGATACCAATTTTTTTTAAATTTTATTCTTGAATTTTAAAGAAAATGATGTTGACTTATTTTAGAGAATACTTTACAGTTTTGTTGTGTTTTCAAAATGGAAAAATGTGATCTTGATTTTTGGCAGTTACAGGAGGAGAAAGCTCAAGAGATTGCAATAAAAGGTGGTCAAACCCTGCTAGATCCCAATCAATTGCTATGATGATGGTGAACACAGAGTGACAGATAACATCTGTCTAATTTGAAATTACAATTTGGTATGGGACTAAATAATTTCTGCTGTGCTCTAGTAAGGAGAAGAAAATGAACATGTGATTTGAATATCAGGATACCAGAACAAACAACCATTACAGGCTTTGTGAGGAGGTCTTTTTTTTTGGCACTCTGCCATTCCTCAGACCACAGTTCCCCATCTTGGATTGTTCCAGGTCTTTTATAAGAAAACCTGCACACAACATTCTGGTTCTTTTTTCTCCCTTTCAGATCCCATGGCTCCATCTAGTGGGAATTTGTTGAATCAAGGCAGTTCCTTCATGCTTCAGGCTCACTGGCAAGAGACAGCTGGGACTGGTTATGTGACAACGTTGTATACCATGAAGCCCCTTGTTATGTTGCAAAACAGTTCATTGCCTAAGCAGTCCTCCATCCAACTTTATGAAGGGTTAAGACCAGGCACTCAATATGCCTTGGAGATCTGCACAGTTGCAGGCCCCCACATTTCTCTACCGCTCCATCTCAACAACTGGACATGTGAGTGTCAGAAGAGCAATATTGTTCTGTTATGGAGAGAGGTTCCAAGATGGGGCACAGAAAATGCAAAAAAAAAAAAAAAATTAAAAAAAACCCTCACATCAGGGATGCAAAAAAATGCAGTTATCCTGTATCCTTTTTTATTGCAAAGTTTTTGTGCTCTCTGAACTTGCAGACATTTCTTTATCCAGGCTAAGTAGCAACACTGAGGTTACTTAGCTAGGTAATGAATATGGTATTGGTAGTTTAGCGTTACAGTTTTTCTTCCAAACAACATCTGGAAAATAAGTATAGACATTGTATCGGTGTATATGTATCTACACAATAAAACTATGTAACCTATCCTCTTGGCTTGAATAGGAAAGTTACAATCAGCACAACTTCTCAATCTTAACCCCTTATGCAAGAGCTTGCAACCATAACAGCTTTAATGAGGAAGGGTAGAAATTCTAAAGAGAGCAATAGGACCCATCAAAGGGACTTGGCATGCACAACTGTCCTGCTGATTAAGAGAAGTTTCTCCTTTGCCTTTGAGAAAGAAGCCTCTCTAACAGCAAGCTATCATTTTATGAAACATGAGGGAGCTTTATCCCCAAGTGGGAGAGGCCAAAATATCAACTGTTTCGGGTTTTTTTTAAGTAAGGATTTTGGGTGAGGCAAAAAGAATGTCTCAACTCTTGCAGAGTTCTTTATCTCCTTCATCCCTCTAAACAGTCCAGTCTTAAAATGTGCTCCTCCACTTCACATTTGCTGAGAGAATTGTGCATTTTTGTTCTAACAATTATGATCTCTTCTAATATTGCAACACAAAAGCTGATTTGATTTTTTTAAACTTCTAATGCGCACAGGAGCCCACATAAGATCTGGGTTTGGCAGTCCTTGCTATACATGATTTCATATTATAGAGAATAAAAAAATGCATATAATTCCGTAATTATTAATGTTATTTTAGATTAGATAAAGCAGCTATAGGGAGAACATGCAACCATTAGCAGGTTGTTTTTTATGAAGACTCTATTGCACAGTCTATTCCAATGACAAGTAGGATCCAGCTGTTCAGAGCCTCGTGATCGAGATTTGCCTGAGAATCAACTAGTCTTGGTTTAGGATTCCATGTTTCCTTCAGGACAGATGTTATTATGCAACTGTCAAGGAAAGTTTTGGGCAACTGTCTAGGAAATAACTTTGGTCAATTGTAAGTATTTGCTTATAGTGTATAACCTGCCTGATATTGATTCCATTCTCCTTCCTTCAGATCCTTTGCCTCCAGAGCACCTGAAACTCAGCAATGATGGTCATAGAATGAGGTCGCTCCATGCTTCTTGGCAGAATCCTTTTAAAAGCGGAGGCTTCTACATAGGAGTTCTTCTGGAAACCAAGTCCCAATTAGTGATAAAAAATTTGACCCTGGCAGAGGCTAATATCACCTTTGAAATGCTCATTCCAGGACGTCAATACACTCTGAAGTTGGCCAGAGTGGCTGGATCATTTCAGTCTCATTTTCAAATAGTTAGTGACTGGACATGTGAGTATGCCGCCATTCTCAGTAGTAGTAGAACAAGCCTCCTTCTCCAATGTGATACTTTTCAGTTGTGCTCAACTACAATCACATCATCCCAACCCTCCCTTTTACCATACTGGGAGACGCAGTCCAAGTCGTCAAATTAATGCATTGATGAAAAGTTGCAGCAGAGGATTTCTCCTATTCTTCTGTTTGACTTTCAGTGAGTCATATACTTACAAGTAGAAAAAGTATTAGCAAACATAAAACATCTCATTGCAAATAAAGACAGGAAGAGGAAAAGCAGAGGTAGAAATGAGAGAATATTTGTGAGTTTGAATTTTGTAAGGATCCACCCTGATTTTTGTTGAGGTAAGAGCTCGATCTGATTTAGAAAGGTAACCGTATTTCATCCAAATTCAACAGATTTCCCGAGATTTCAGACATCATATTTGAGTTTTGTTTTTGTAATTTGTTCAAAAATTAATTGTATCACAATAATTCATGTTAATAGGTTAATTATATCTTAATTCACATCAATAGTTTACAATTAATAATTTACAAGGCAGGAATAAACCTAAGGTACCTGTATCTGTGTGAGTTTAGTATCTCTTTGCTATTATCGAGTGGTATCTGGATGCTTATAGCCCAGAAACAATATATTGATTAAATGATTCTCATATATGTGATCTTTACTACTTTTATTGATTGTTCCAAGATAAGTCACTTTTTTTACTTAGAAATCTTTCCTTCAAAATAAACTTCTGTTCATTGCCTGAATTCTCCAACTTGGAACGGAATAGTAATAGATTAACCTCTTTCTTTCAGATCCTTTGGTGCCATCAGGAGTGACGCTGGCCAGTAGCAGGCGGTCCAGCAGCCTTTTTGCTTCTTGGGGCCAGCCTCTAGGTGACAGAGACCAGCTCTTCCTGCGATTCTTCAGTCTGGAACATCCGTTGCAGAGGAATATCACAATTGGGCCAAGCATGCTAAATTTTACATTTGAAGGTCTTCAACCTGGCAGTCAGTACTTACTGGAGGTTACAGCAATGGCAGGACCATACCAAGCTTCATCTCAGGTGGTTTCTGCATGGACATGTGAGTATTTCTGCCAATAATGAGACCCTGTAGCTGAGACTTTCCTGAACACACAGTTTTTATTGCAGGCTAACATCTCAGTAAGGCTAAGCATGTATAGCGTGATGTACCAAAGTTGCCTTTTCAGGGGGCAACTGGACTTTCTTGTTTTTTCTTTGAAGACGTTTCACTTCCCATCCAAGAAGCTTCTTCAGCTCTGACTGGATGGTGGGGAATGGAAGGATTTATATTCCTTGCAGACAGCTGGTATTTGCATTCTTTTGGGGAGTTGTTGAGGCCTAAAATTTAGAGATTTACTTGTGTCCTCAGGGTCACCTGAGCAGTGCAAATGTGTGTGGAGCCTTCTTGGCTGCAGGATGTTTTCTGCCCTGTGTCCCTTCACTGTTGAAGACAGGCGCAGGCTGTTGGGGATGAGTCTGTGTTGTCTGCATCTCAAACTGAAGCGCAAATGGTTCCTGTAGTCTGTAATGTTTTCCGGAGATTTGTTCATACTCCCGCACCATTTGAAGAGTGTTCATCCCAAAATGCATGACTAAATGTCTATGGAGATTCTCAGTCATCCAGACCATGCCTGCCTTTTTCTAAATTCTGGCTGTGATTTGCCAACCTTTTTATCATTATAGATCCTCTATCTCTGGCAAATGTGAGTGTGAAAGGAAGCCAGAATCCCCAGCAATTGATTGTGAGCTGGATTGAATCAGGAAGAGGACGAGGATATTGGGTACAGCTCTATTCGGAGGAATCCCTGTCCATTATCCAGAATGTGTCTGTACCACATGGAACTACACAGGTGACTTTGGATAATCTGGTGCCAGGAACTCGGTATCGTGTTGAAATTGTCTCCAGAGCTGGACCTCACTACATTTCTTCCCAAACAGCCATTGGCTACACAGGTATAATTTAGGGCTCCTTCTGCCTTTTCTTCCATTCTGTTTATTCGGCCTGAAATAGCTTGGGACTGCAAATTTTTCTAGAGGTCTATCTCCAATTGCTGATTTTGACAGAAGGATCAGAGCTGGGTTATGACTGAGATATTAAGATCTAGCTAATCATTGGTTCTATATTTTCTCTCCCTTGCCTTTTGAATTTGCACCAATACTATCCCATATAATTACATATTTTAGAAGAGGTCAGACAGCCGTCATTGGGGATGTTCAGTAATTACTCCCTACTTTACAAATCCTGAGTGAAATGGATTAAACAAGAGGGACACCAGTATCACTTTTTGATAGTAGTAGTAGTAGTAGTAGTAGTAGTAGTAGTAGTAGTAGTAGTAGTAGTAATAATAATAATAATAATAATAATAATAATAATAATAAAGTTGGAAGGGACCTTGGAGGTCATCTAGTCCAACCCCCTGCTCAGGCAGGAAACCCTATACCATTTCAGACAAATGGCTGTCCAGTCTCTTCTTAAAAACTTCCAGTGTTGGAGCATTCACCGCCTCTGGAGGCAAGTTGTTCCACTGGTTAATTGTTCTAATTGTCAGGTTAATTGTTCTAACTGTTATCCTTTGGATATTTCCTTTCTTTTCACCATGATCAGCCCACTACTAAATTTTTGTAACATTTTTAGAGTGCTATATTGTAGTGTGTTTATTTACTATTTATTATTAAATTTACACCTTGTCTTCCTGATTATATAAGCACTCAGAGAGTGTATAATAAAATACAAAGCAAAACCAATACAATCAGAACAATTAAGATAAAAATTTAAATTAATGTTAAAATAATTAACAATTCAAAGTTTCATAGTACACATTTTGCTATTTTCCAAAGTAGTTGGTGAGGAACAACCAAAAATGCCTGTCTTGGGAAGGCCATTCCATAGCCTGGGAACCTTGCAGTAGAAAGCCTTTTTCCTCTGTTCCAGCTTTGCTGTTCTAAGTAACCTGGCAGATTCATAAACCATAGGTCCTGAGTCTTTTAGGATTTTAAAGGTCTATGAGATTTGGCAGAACTAGCCAAGACACATTCCTCCATCTCGTTTTCAATGTGGGTCAGCCTGAGATAACCAAAGCATTTAATCAAGTACATTCTGAATGAAAACCTGTTTGAAATGTGTCTGCATAGCATGCTATGGCTTGCGAAAAGTCGGGCACAACTTAGTGATTGAACAACAATATCACATGCAGTACATCTGAACCTTCAGAACAACCACTTTCTTGATTACCCTATTCAATAATGAAATATTTGAGATTGGTTTATAGTTAGAAAGGTGCTGGATCATAGGAGGATTTCTTCAGTGCATGTTCTATAACCACCTCCTTTAAGGAGACAGAAAATGCATCCCATGTTCATGGGGCAAGTGCCACCCAACCAATTTAATCAGTCAGGAATGGTAAATATTGAGCATGCAGAAGTTGGGATTCCATATATACTTTTTTTAAAAAGTATATCAGCAGAACATGCAACTACTATGCCACTCTATGTTCTACCCAAATGCTTAAGTCCAAATCAGAGCAAATCTGATTTATTTTCTCTTCAAAGAACTAGGCACAGCCTCCAACTGTTCTGACTCCTGATTCCAACATCTTGTTACTGTACTGGGTGTTCGTGTGTATGAGGAAAAATAGATAGGATTCTTGGTGTCAATAAAAAGTATGGTTAAGGGCTATCTGTGATTCATGGGTATAATGATAACTTAGTCTCCACATGCCAATATTAATATTTGTAACGTACAATACAACATTACATATATGTAGTGTACAATAACATTACATAAAGACCCAGAGCCATTATAAGAGACAATATTGGAAAAGGAATTGGCCTTTATCTCCACTAAGTCAATAAATGAGACTCTTATCTTTTCTGGTGTTAATGTTCACATTCCATATTGTATTCATTATTACCTAGTACTTCCTCTTTTCTATCATTATATCTTAATTACTTAACTATGTCTTAATTACTTAACTACCCTAATGGGACAATAAAAAACCAATGAGCCTTTGCACTTGTCTAATTATTTTTGTACAGCAAACATTTTCTGATACCACTTGTGCTGCTTCTTCTAGTGCCCTTGTTGCCACTATCTCTGAAAGTGATCAGTCACAGTTCTTCAGTGTTATCTGTGCAATGGAAGGCCCCAGCTGGGCAGAGAGATGGTTATATGGTGTCTGTATCTAAAGAGGGATCTACAGATACCAGTAATCACATGTTTGTGGGGAAAACCAGCACCAATATTACAATTGTGGGGCTAGCCCCTGGAACCTGCTATCTGATTGCGGTGTGGTCACTGGCTGGACCCTACAGCTCTGCTTCTAGGAACAGCTCAGCTTGCACAGGTAAATGTCGCACTGGGGTGGATTTCTAAGTGAGAACAAGAATGGCATATCTTGGATAATTGATCTCTGAACGTATTGTATGGTGCAATGAGTGAATTCTGATGCAAAAAGATTTGTTTATGTTTCTCATGCATGGACTTACCTACTCTTCAGTCTTGTTCACATTGGAAGATAATGATTAAATTTTATTGTTTCACCATGTACTGTATGGTACTATACTATGAAAACAGTTTCTGATTGAAACTTCTTTCTGACTGCAGCCCCTGCTGCTCCTATGAACCTGATTCTGAAAAATATGGGCAATTCATCTGTACTATACACATCTTGGACTGAACCTCCAGGAGGACGAGACCACTATAGGATGATCCTGTATAGCCTGGATCCTCCAGGCATGAAGAGAGTTCGTGTCATTGGCCCAGGGGTCCAGGATTTCCTTTGGACAGGTTTGCCAGCAGGAGGCCATTTTGCTGTGCAGGTTATTTCAGTGAAAGGACATGCTGAGGCCTCCTCCACCATTGCTGCTGAGTGGACATGTGAGTCTGGCTGTCTAGATCCTAGACTTATGGCTGTACTGTTATGCATAGATACTAGATTGATAAATTCTTTGAACAGCTCTGTTCTCAAGATCTTTTTTTTTATCCAACTCTTCCTCAGTGTTTTTTTCCATTTTCTTTAGCCAACTCTTCCTCAGTGTTTTTCCACATGCTTGATGATTGCTCATTAGGTCACGTTTCCTTTCCTGAAGTCTACTAAATCAAGCAATTGGATATAACCCCAAGTTGACAGAGTTTTTATTATTCTTGACTGATTTGATCCCTCTTCTATATGTAATTAGAGGAAAGGAAATGTAGGTCTTAGTAACAAGAAATAATAATCTGTAAATGTGCTTTGAATCCATTAGATTCAAAAATCCTATAAACATTGATATACATTAAATCCTCATGTGCATTCTCTCAGAGACAAGATAGGCAAGCTTACATATTAACATGAGGCCAAACCCGTTCAACTGTTTGCAGTGATGAAAATATGATGGTGATTTATTCACATAGAATGGTACCTACAGCAGGTTCTTACCACTGTCAGTCGTTAGGTTCATTTCACTTTTCACTTTCTCAGCTTGGTGCCTTGTATTGGACTTCAACTCCCATAACTTTCAACCAGCATGGTTGGTAAATATCAGTAGATGTGTAGATGTGTAGCATATCTGGGAGATACCAATTTGAGAAAAGCAAAGTGATTTTTCTTTGGGAAAAAGCAAAATGAATAATAAGAAAAATGGATAAAACTTAATAAATGTATTTACATATGAGGATGAAGGTTCGTTCTCCGAGGTTATGGGTTAGCTTTTGAATGTTTCATTACCAGGCTAGATAACATCTTCAGTGGATTTTAGGGGATGTCAGTGCAGTGCTCTTCTGTTTATAAGGGCTTTGTGTGGTCAGTAGATCTTATGATGGGTCAGATGTGGGTGTGTCAAGGGAGGGTCTTGTAATGGGTCATTTTGATGGGTCAGGTGTGAGTGAGAGTTTTTGATGGGGAGGTTACTTCAGTTGAAGGTCATTGGCAGGTGAGTGCTGGTGGGGGGGCTTGCGTGGGTTGGTTGAGGGTTGATGCTGTCTCTGGTTGTCTGTGCAGTTGATTTGGTTTCTGAGGGGTTTGTAGGCTGGTTGTAGGTGAATGTGTATGTTGATGGAATTGCTTGTGGAGTGCCAGGCTTTGATGAATTCACAAGCATGGCGGGTGGTAGTGTGGCCAATGATTTTTGTGTTGTTCCAGTTGAACTGGTGCTGTTTGGTGTTGGTGTGGTAGAGATTAAGGATTTGGGATTGTGGCGTTTGGCCAGCCAGTGTTTGTGGATTCTGGTTTTTAATTGATGTGATGTTTGTCCCACACAGAATTGGTTGCAATCGTTACAGTTGATTTTGTAGATTACACTATTTCTTTCATCCTTCTGTGTCTTGTCTTTGTTTTGGATAATTCCTGGTGGAGTTTGGCTGTGGGTTTGTGGGCTTTTGAGAATTCTGGCTGTCATTTCCAACATCCCTTTTGTGTATGGTAGGGTTAGTTTTTGCATGGTGGCTGGCTGTGTGTGGTGTGTTGTGGTTTGGATGCTACGTCAAAATACAAAGTTTTTTTTAGATAGCAGTTACAGAGAAAGACATCAAGCAGCCATTTCTCTTCTGCTTTTCTTGGTGTTGTGGTGCTGCAGTATGTACTGGCCCTTCTGAAGAGAGTCTAGACACAGTTTCATTTTTGTGTGGTGGGGTGATTGCTTGCAAAGCTGAGGATCTGGTCCGTGTGTGGGGGTTTTCAGTAGACACGAGTTTCCAGTTTTCTGTTGTCTAGTCTCCTTATGTTGATGTCGAGGAATGGGAGTTTGTTATCTGTTTTCTCTTCACATGTGAAATTACAGTATGCCTTCAAGGTTAAGTCTACCTGATTCAGGTTCCAGTGTTTCTCAACCTTGACAATTTTAAGGCATGTGGACTTCAACTCCCAGAATTCCACAGCCAGCAATGCTGGCTGTGGAATTCTGGGAGTTGAAGTCCACATGCCTTAAAATTGTCAAGGTTGAGAAACACTGGGTTAGAGCTAGAGAGCTGCTGACAGTAAAATAGTGAGTGGGATGGTTCAGTGGTCTGATTTAGTGTAAATCAACTTTCTGACGCTGACTTTGACCAGTCTTTATTATATTTTCTATTACTTTGTTCTATTTATTGATAATTGAGTATTGATAAGTAGGATTTACGCCTATCCTCCTCAACTTTGTAGTTCTGCCTGCTGTTCAAGACTGTCCTGTTTACTCAGGATGAACATGCTAATTATGTTTGTTATTTGGTAGATTTAAGGTATTGCTCTTGACAGCTGGTTTTAATCTTTATAATTTTGTGTTTTTTATTTTGTTTTGTAAACTGTTCTGTTTTATGTGAAGTACAACTTATACATCTAATAAATATTTTTATTTATATACATACAGAGAAACATAATTATTAGTACTATGGTATATGCCATATATAATCCATTATATAGTTACCATCTTCCCAGGCCCTGTAGTACTGCCATGTACTGCCATTTATGTCAATTACTGTTACTCGCTTTATCAAATAAATTCTTAATTACTTTACAGTTCCTCTGCCAGCTTCCTCTGTGCAAGTCTGGAATGGAGGATACCCAAACAGGCTGCATGTGACTTGGGCACCAGCTTCTGGAAGACTGGATGGCTACGAACTGAAACTGTACTATGCAGGATCCAGCACTTTAGCAACACAAGCACATCTAGGAAAGGATGCCACTGATTTTACTTACTCAGGTTTGACACCTGGAATCAATTATTTATCTGAGATTCTCTCAAAGGCTGGACCTCATAGGACTTCGGCAGGGAATTTCAGTGCTTGGACAAGTGAGTAAATGACGATAAGATCCTGCTCCTCTATTATTGCCATACATGATTCTAAAATGCTGCCCCTTGTTATAATGATTGGCTTCTCATATGTGTAACTTCAGTTGTAGACAGTAGGGTTTGCCCAAAGCAATTTACACTCTTACCTGAAAATAAAATGAACTTGCAAGGTAAAATAGGTAAGTAAGACAGATAGCCACAATCTGGATTGCCATTGTCCTCATCCTAATGAGAAAATCCTAATATTTTCCCTTAGTTTATTCTTGCGTGTTTGATAATCTCTTTGATACCCAACTATATATTTTTCTTCAAATCCACTTCAGTAGACTCACTCCTAAAAACACATTTCTTCCTCACCATAATCAGTTATTAGACAAATAATGTAAGAAAATTCCTTCATCAGAAAAAAAATAGTTAAACCAGAGTCATCAAACAGCATCTTTGCCATGCATTCCAAACAGAGTAGAATTGTCATGAGTAAAAGAAAACAGCACAAGTGAGTTCCTGATTCTTCAATTGCTCTTGTAATTTTGAAAATGATAAACTCCCTTACTACACTTGGTCTTGTGACCCAGAACAAAGACAGAATCCAGAAACTGTTTTAAACAGACCAAAATGTGTACATATGGCCAAGAACTTGTTAATTTAATAAACAAGTTTTATTTGCAGTTCCATTCCAAGCAATGCAGCATGTTGTCATTCTGAAGCTAAGAGGAAAACAGGTCCTGAATCTCACTTGAAATGGCAGACACCTCCCTCACTTAGGTCAAATAAGGAATAATGCTGATCTCCATAGCTTGCATAGTTTGATAGGAAATTTTTTGCATCAATAAATATTAGAATCAAGGAGGCCAAATATATCCAGCAATTAATAAACCCAGTAGCAATTTTAATATAGAAGATTAGCATCTGCTCCCAGAATAGAGTAGAGTAGAGTAGAGTAGAGTAGAGTAGAGTAGAGTAGAGTAGAGTAGAGTAGAGTAGAGTAGAGTAGAGTAGAGTAGAGTAGAGTAGAGTAGAGTAGAGTAGAGTAGAGTAGAGTAGAGTAGAATAGAATAGAATAGAATAGAATAGACCTGGAAGGGACCTTGGAGGTCTTCTAGTCCAGCCCCCTGCTCAAGCAGGAGGACCTATATCATCTCAGACAGGTGATTGTCCAGTTTCTTTTTAAAAACTTCCAGCGATGGAGCACCCACAATTTCTGGGAGTAAGCTGTTCCACTGGTTGATTGTCCTCACTGTCAGGAGGTTTCTCCTTAATTCCAGGTTGCTTCTCTCTTTGATCAGCTTCCAACCATTGTTTCTCATCCTTCCCTCTGAACAACCTGGCCCCTTCTTCTTTGTGGCAACCCCTCAGATACTGGAATACTGCTATCATGTCTGCACTATTTCTTCTTTTCTTTAGACTGGCAAAACCCAAGTTCTGCAGCCGTTCTTCGTACGTTTTGGTCTCCAGGCCTTTGATCATCTTTGATCAATGGCCAATTGACTAAATTGGTCAATTTGGAAATGGAGCCTTACAATTCTGCTTGGTTTCAACAAGCAGACATCTGATCCTGTTCTTCTGGTAATGCAGCCATTGCTACATCCCAAAATAAGGCCTCGGGGAGACACAGTCACTTCAAATAATGGCTGAATTATTATCCATCTTTCTAGGCACAAGGGAAATATTTAAATTTTGTTGTTCAGTCACTAAGTTGTGTCTGATTCTTTATGACCCCATGGACCGTAGCATGCCAGGCCCCCTTGTCCTCCACTGTCTCCCAGAATTTGCCAAAAATCATATTCATTGCATCGATGACACTATCTAACCATTTCATCCTCTGCTGTCCCTTCCTTTTGCCTTCAGTCTTTCCCAATAGGGTCTTTCCCAATGAAATTTAAACCTATTACATCAATAATCCTGGAACTTTACAATAGAATCAATAATTAATCATCGCATCTAAGAGCTGACCAGGTGTTTGGAATCCATTAGTTCACATTTGACTTGACCAAAAAATACTGTGTCTGAGTTTGCACTTGAGATCTGAGCTGCTGCTAACATTATACCAGAAAGAAGATCTAACACTTAAGTAATAGTGTCAGTAATTCTTTCCTGGCAATATCCATTATGTAAAAGATAAATTCACACCGATTTGTTTGTTAAATTAGTATCTCCTATTGATACACGTAACTTCCACTTCTCTTTCTCTTCTGCCTAGGTCCTCTACCTCCTCGCAAGGTGCTTCTGTCAAATAAAGGGCACACTGACAAGCTGAGTGCTACCTGGGAACCTCCTGCAGGAGATCAAAGTGGCTATGTACTTACACTCTTTAATGCTGCATTGGGCACTGTGGTAGCCAAGGTATCTGTAGAAAAGGACATTACTAATTTCACTTTTGGAAGGCTCATCCCAGGAAGTAAATACTTGCTGGAAGTTGCTTCTATAGCAGGGCCATATCGGATATCATCAGGGAACACCAGTGACTGGACATGTGAGTCTGAGTTTTTTCATTGTCCATATATGGACATTTCCAGATAGGAACTTTAAACCAATTCAAAATCTACTCCAGAGCTCCTGAAACTCCCAATGTCAGTTGTATCTGAAGCTCAGTCAGTTTATTACTGGCTTTGCTGTGGAATATTTCAAATTTTAGCAAAGCTGGTCTCCCCCCCCCCAAGTACTATGCCTCTATAATTTACAGGCAGTCCAGATTCTTTCACCCTTCTCCCCTGCAATTCCTCCTTCCTTGTCGTCTGTACTCTATTCTGAAGGTGCAAGAAAGAAGACAATCAGTTTTAAAGTGGTTTTGAAGAATGAGGATTGGACACCTTAATATGATTGAAGTGTCTTAACTTTTACATTGGTTCTAAATTTCGTCCACTTTTCCTATTGACAAAGTCATTAGCTGCCCCACAGAAAATTGGTATTTAGTAGTAAGTGATTAGGACAAAGGATGCATTTTTTTACTTCCTTTTATCCGTTTTAATTAGCAATTCTGTTCAAAATTGTTTGAGCGATCAGGATAGAATAAGACAAAAGAGAGATATGAATGTATGAATGATGGAGGTGTATGAGCCCCTAACTCACAACATGCCAGCATGTTTGATCTTCAAGTCCAAAATAATTGTCCATCCATGCTGTAATGATGGTTGATTATCAGCTGAAGTTAAATTCAGCTCTAGTAATTTATAGCATTGATATCAATCAATGAATCCAAAATGATTTGGAAGAATTTATGCAGGCACTGAGTATCTAAGTCCTTTTTTTTTTCTGCTCCTGCACAAGATGGGGGGGGAGCTTTTTGAAAGAGCAGCCCTAATCATTTCTGCAAGGAGAGATTTAAACTGAATAACATTCTTAATTACCCTTAGATTTCTGAAAAATAGATTTAAACAGATTTTTGATTAATGTAATATTGTGTAAAACAGCAACATGTCCCATTGTTTTTCATGAAATTCTCCTTAAATTAAGCCAAAAGAACTGACTAAGTCTTTAAGGATGGTATGAATGTCTTTGTAAAAAAGCCTGATACCTTAAAAATGGTGATAGTAAAACCTTTGTTTTAAAAATAGCAACAGCAATAACAATAGCACTTAGACTTATACACCGCTTCATAGTGCTTTACAGCCCTCTCTAAGCGGTTTACAGAGTCAGCATATTGCCCCAACAACCTGGATACTCATTTTTCCAACCTCAGAAGGATGGAAGGCTGAGTCAGTCTTGAGCCTGTTAGAATCAAACTCCTGACAGTGAGCAGTGAGTTAGCCTGCAATACTGCATTCTAACCACTGCGCCACCATGGCTCTTTCTTTAATCCAGGAGTTCCCAACTGGGGATACGAGACGATATTCCAGGGGGTTCAAAAACTTGGGTTTTCAAAATTATAGTGTATATGCATAATTCATTGCCGTTATTTCAAATTTTTGTAAGGGGTGCGAGAATATATCAGAAGCGTTCTTGGGGTGCAGAGTATAGAAAAGGTTGGGAGCCTCTGCTTTAATCTATTGGACTGAATAGTTTCTAAACAGTCTTTCATGGACAAAATATTCTTGGGCAGTGTTCCCGTTATGGCTTTGGAGATGATGCAGTTCAATTGAGTTTTACGTGTAATTACAGAATAATGATTGTGCACCAAGGCAGCCAGACCAATCTCTGTTACAAACAAGTAAGGGATTATTGATTATTCAGGACTTCATTGTAGAATGTTATATCAGCATTATCATGCAGCTTGTTCACTCTGTATTCTTTTGTTTTTACATACCAGACCCATTGATTCCAAGGAAGCTGTCTGTAAAGGCTGAGAAGGGAAATCCTGCATTGTCTGTGGCCTGGGCAAAACCTGTCAGCAAACCTGAGCGCTGCCAGCTGCAGCTGTGGCATCCAGAAAATAGCACCTTGTTACAGCATCATACCTTGACTCAGTGGCAAGTCCGGCATATTTTTCAGGGACTAGTTCCAGGGAGAAATTATTCTGTATCCCTCACCTGTGTTGCTGGACCATATAAGAACAGTTCTGAAATGATAGTTATGCCAATAGGTGAGTATGTGTTCATCTTTCCAGGACATTCATATTTCCATCTTAATCCCCAGACTTATCCTTTCAATTGGATTATCCTCATTACTGCTAGGACATCAAAAAATTGGTTGAAGTTCAAGAAGCAGAAGAGAATGTTAGGCCAAACTGCAAAGCACAGTATGCTAGGAAATAAAATTCAAATCAATATGAATGCCGGAGACATTTTCTTCATTCTATGCTTTGAAGCAAAGAACCAAGAAATTCTCTCTGGCATTCATATGGATATAGGAAGCTTCCATCACGTTGTGTAAATATTGTAGAATCTTTTACACTTGATCTTTGCCCAGATGGATCAGCATAAGAGTCTTAAGAAGCAAGCCTGTTTTTGTTCCAAATGCCAGATATCAGAAGCATGATTTTCATACATTTGTGGTTCAAAGCATCTGTGATTTCAGTGCCTGTTTCCACTAAAGTTGTGAACAAAATAGTGTGAATTGGGCAGAATTTGTTCTATCCCATTTTTTCCTGTATTGCAGATATTTATTAACATAGAGACAGATATGTTTGGACTTGCTCAGTTGATTGTGTCCTGTCTCTCTAGAACCTAGTCATGTGAAGAACCTGCAATGTCTACCGGACACCACCAGTATGTTTCTAAACTGGACCATCATTGAGAATGACATTAAATCTTATGAGCTGACTGTGAATACATTTCCAAAGGGAGTCCTCCAACAACCTGTACTAGCTTTGGTTGTTTCCCAAACTAATGTTACTCTGGTAGAGCTGACTACAAATACCTCCTATCAAATCCAAGTTAATGCTGTTGGCAGGAATGACATAAAGGGCCCATCTGTGACAATAGTGTGCAACACATCTGTGGAAGGTATTGATTCTAATCTCACCATTGATTGTACCAAGGGTTACACTTTGTGCGGCATTTTAATGCGGCACCATCTATCAATTCCAAGCAACGTTTCTTATTTTCCGCTGCAGTTCTTCCACCTCCTGTGAGAATGGACCTTCCCCAGTTTGATGCCAGTTCCAGAATCATCATTTCTCCTGATATGTTCAGTGAAGAAAATGGTCTCATAGAGTATTATGGAATTGTTGTCACCACCAATGAGTCTTGTAAGTATCTAGCTCTCTATGTGCTTTACTTGGTAGGAGAGGTTTCCTAATGTAGTTAGGACCTTAATGCTGCAATGCTTATCGCTATCTTTCCAGTACTGAGGCCTACTCAAGAAATCATTTCCCACACGTGGTATGACCACTATTATGGGCAGGAAGACTCATATTTGGCTGTGCTGCTGCCAAACCCATTTCATCTTAATGAGAGCACCAGCCTCAAGGCTTGGCCAGTGCCTGTGGGTGCAGAAGATTGCAGCAACTCCCGAGCAACTTGTAATGGAATGCTGAAAACAAATACACAGTACAGGTAGGAACGTAAAAAGAATTCTGCTGTAAAATACTATAGGTTCATTTGATTTTCATTGGTCATCATCTGGGGAACCTTGACGGAGTTTGCAACTATCCTCTAGTATTTCCTTACTGAAAGTAGTTAACAATCATACTAGTCCCGTCCATCTCCTAGATTTTTGTGAGAGTAAAAGAATGGCTATCAAAGAAGCATGCCCAGTGGCCGAACTCTTGGGAGAGTTGAGGATGATATAAATGCAATTACTGAAAGTGTAAGTCAGTAAATAGAATAATCAGAAGTTTTATTTCAATATTCCTATAGGTTCAGTATTGCTGCATTCACTAGATATAGCCAACAGACTCCAAAAGTGTCCTTCACAGCATTCTCAGGTAAGGTCTATTCTTTGTTTATATTCTGAATTAAATAGATGTCTAGTTTCTGTCTAATTAGGGTTTCTCCTGCCTGTCCCAAATATTCAAAGGAATATGTTAAATTATCTCATTACATTACCAGTTGTCCAATCCTTTGCATTTCTATCTAGAAATAAGCTCCCCTCTTACTGCCATATAAGACATATGGTGTCAGGTGCAAGTAACCAGGAATGGGAATTGAGTTCAAAGCACTAAAACTTTATTTATATGCTACCTATACACAAGAATCTGATCTACTAATGGTCAAGCCACATTGGCGTTAGATAAAGATCAGTGGAATTCATGGGGGCTGGGCTTGGATTTCTTGTTGGAGCACAATGACTACAAAATTATGATGTATTTGACCCTGCCTTTGGGCTCGCCCTGCTCATCTCCTACATATAGAAGGTATGTACATTGGAGCTGCCATTAACCAAACAAGGCTTGCTTCCATCACCTCAACAAGACCTGCCGAGTCAGAGTCCAACTCCAAGTGAGTCCATGTGACTTTATCTGCCAGATGCCTAATTTTTTTCTCAGAACAACTGTCCAGATGATCTTGAGGATCATTCCTCCAGCAAGGAATATTGATTTATTTATATTTATTCTTGCTGGAGGGCTGCCAGGTGGCTAGCTAGGTGGTGTAGGTGTGATAAGAAAGGGGAAATAACTATGTTATTATGCAATCCCCAATATGGGGATCTTACTTGTCTTAAATGTTGTTGTAAGTGTCTCTTCTGAACAGGCTCTGTGGGTACAATATTGCTGGAAAATCTTTTGGTTCTGTGGGCTACACAGTTCACTCAGTGACATTTCCAGACTACATCTCTGCATGCGCATGCATAACCCACTGCTTCTTCTCTGTACCCATCTTGTACCCCAGTACACACTGTTCAGTTTTCACAGTATCTTCCAGCATCCTGTCTTCCCATCCAATTAAACTATATCAGACTACTCTATATTGGTCTTTGACTGTAATAATGGTTGGTTGGTTGATATCTGAATACTACTGGTATTCTATTCTATTATGGGTTATGAAATTGTTCTTATGGACAATCATTTGTCTTTCCTCATAGGATAGTGCCTTAATGATAATGCTATATGCTTTCTAATTATACTACAATTTATTATGACAATGTTTCTTTTTCTGGGCTTAAGAGAAAGTTACCTTTTACAAATGTAATTTTTCTTTGTTTTGATATCTAGCAGCAGCTGCTTCAGCAGATTCTGCAACTTTGCCTGCCCCAGTTGTGGCTGGAATCATTATGGGATTCCTTGTGACAGTCACAGCCATTTCTGTATGGATTTATTGGAAACATTTACGAACAAGAAGGTAATAAAATAAAATAAAACAATAAAATAAAATATAGGATTGTCTGCTTTGGAGCTGGGCATGGGACGTGAGTGGAATTAGTATAAAAATGGTTCTAGCTTAGATTTTTTTAGATAGCTGATCTATTTAAATGTGCATGTTCCTGCCCATAATATATCAGTTGGTTGAATAGCACTAGAAGGTAAGAAAAATAGTTCAACAAGAGTCTATCAAAATGCAGTTATGAACAGTTGCAGAGATCGAGAGATGATGATGGATATGGAGAGATATGGACATGGAGATGGAAGGGGAGGGTAAAATGAAGAGGGAGGGAGGGAGGGAAGGAGAGAATGAGAGAGACGAAGTACATTTGGAAAGACATGCCTCCTCACCAAAACAATAGCAATGTCCGTGTTATGATTTCAGAATAGAAAAGGGTAATATACCTCAAGAAATGACCATCTACAGTCTCAGGTAAGTGAATCAATACTCATCTTTCTTAAGCCAGATATTAGATGTGGTAGGATAGATATTCCTATGTTTTTATGAAAGAACAATTGCGACATTCTCAGAGCTCAGCTTATAGGTTTGATTTGCAATGAAAAATTATCTCCATGTCGACCTTGGGAAGTTAGAAACAGCATTTGATTTTCTTATGGCATAAACAAGGATTTTTAAACTATATCCTTAAAACAGGGATAAGTAATCAATACCTATCCACACTTTTCTAGCATATCCGAAGCTTTGAGATAATAGCAGACATGGTATCATAAAGAGTATAACTGGATATTGAAGTCCATAGCTGTAGTAAAAGCAACTCATGAGCATCCAGGGAACTAAAGTCTTTAGCATTGCAATAAAATTCAGTTAATTTTGCTTCTATTGCAAAACAAGTAGTGTATATTGCTAGCTTAGGACTTAACTAAAAGAAACATGAATTCTATCTAGCTTATTGTATATGTTGGTTATGTCAGCCTTGTGGCGTCTAAGTTGTCTGCTTAGCACATCTCCTGTTTCATTGCTCTCTCATTTTTTTATTGTGCCATTGTATTTGTCTCAAGTAAGTTTAACTTATGTTTTAATAATTCCATTTGTATTTTCAACTTTTTCTTTTGAGGGTCTGATTGTAATTCAGCTTCCAACATACTAAGTTGTTCTTTCAATCTATCTCTCTGAGCATTTTTTAATTCCTTGCAGGAATACCCATCGGCCAATCCCTCTGCAAAGTTTTAGACAATATTATGAGACAAGGACAGCAAACTCAAATAATGGGTTCTTTCAGGATTTTGAGGTAATGATTCTAGGTAAAATTCTATCCAGGCTTAACTGTGGCCATAATTAAACAACAGCTGTATTCTTTCTAGCTTATATAATGCTAGAAAAGAGTTAACCAAACTGCACCATCCACTGTATCTTCTTCAATTTGATGCTCTCTGGACTATTTTTTTCCAAATAACCCTTTCCTGTTTGCTTTTTAAAAGTCAATTAAAAGATGCTTATTACATCAAGCCATGGGCCTGTTGGACTTACAAGCAAGGAATTCTAGAAATTGAAGTTCCAACATATCTAAAAAATAGTAGATTGGAGAAGGCCGGTCCATTACAGGCAAGCCAGATAATTAATACAAGCTACTGCATGTATTAATCTATGTACACTGTCTCTTTTCTTCTTGCTACTCATAGCTGGTAATTTGATCTGGAAGAAATGGCCTTTCTTTGATAGTCACTAACTCTGCCAAAATCCATTAAGTGCACTCCAAAGGACTGTATTTCATGGAGCCTATAACTATCAGTATATTTTCTGTTTTCTGTATAGTTGACTCCAAAAGAATAACCTATTTAAGAATTTTAGCAGTTTGAAGTTTATAAGATATGAGCTATGGAGGGTGATGATTGTTCGTCTCTGATGGAGTCTTCACTTTTTATAAATCAGCTCACCAAGAATATTCCTTCATGAACAAGTTTTGTCCTAAACGAGTACTGTAAATTACTTCTCTGTAGGTGGTGTGAGGAAAATGTTCAATGATACAGTATCAAGTAGCAGAGAGTCTTTAAATTTAAACACATTTTCCACCTCTAGGACATACATTTTTAAACATTTAACAGAGATTGAGGAAAAGTTGAATGCAGCTGCTTCTTGCATTTGATCTTTTAGCTTTACAATTGATCAGCTTCAATACTATGGGAAATATTTGTTTCAAATATATCTTAACAACTGCCTTTCCAGATTCATTCCACATCTTTAGATCCCTTGGAATACAATTCCCATCATCCCAAGAAGCATAGATATTGGCTGTGCTAGCTTATAGGAATTGTAATTGAAGATATCTAAATTATGCTTTTTTCAAATTGAAGCTTGGCTCAAACTGGGAGAAGGATTTTGAGAATATGTGACTATACTATGAAAGATTTTTCTCTCTTTTGCATTGTACAGGAGCTGAAAGAAGTTGGAAAGGAACAGCCAAAGACAGAAGCTGAAGTTCCAGCCAATGCCATCAAGAATCGATATCCTCATGTTCTACCATGTAAGAGCTCAACAGAGTCATACTTTTAACATTTATTTTTGTTTTGTTGCAAGTTTTTAAAATTACAAATACAAAAAACAGAAAGCCAGATAACTATTAAAAAAACCCTAAACAAATTAAATAAGGGTGACAAAAGAACATAACATATAAAACAAGGAAAATAAAAAAGATTATGAAATATCTGAGCATATCACCTATATAGTAAATGTTAAATAATATAAGAAAATTTCAAATCAAAATAGAAAAAACTTGATGGTATACTATCATGATATCTGTGCCAAAAGCAATAAATTGCATCCATTTTTGTAGAAAAAAATTGCCCATTTTGAGAATCAATAAATCACACATGTTTGAATCAAATCCTTAATATCTCTAATAATAATGCATTTCCATTTTTTACAAATTATTTGCTTAGTAGTTTTTCAACATTTCTCAAAAGCAAATTCTATACTTTTAAAACATAATTTAAGATAATATTAACATCCTTTCCCCATAAACGTATTTACATATATATTAAAATATTGTTCCAAAAGGAAGATAGTAATTCATAGGAATCCTGAAATGTTTTACATTGCTAACACAGAAAATTTGTTACCCATCCTTTTGAATTTTCTTTGAGGTGTCCATTAACCTTGAAACATAATCTTTTGATGAATCAGTTTCCATCTTAAATCCAATGAGAGCAATTTACCATTATTTCAAATTTTGCAGCCATTAGTGTTCCATTATTGGATATTTCTTGTGTAGATGGCTGGCCACTGTGAGAACAGATTATGGATCAGATAGGCCAGGGGTCCAATCCAGTAGAGCACTGCTTATGTTTTGGTGTTCTTCTACTGTGGATAATTTCTCATACTTTCAATCATTACAACATTTTCTGTACTTTTCATTTTGCAGTTATATACATAACTGTTCACAGAAATTTCCAATGCACTTCCAGATAAATAGGAAAGATATATTTGGGTTAGTACAACCTCTGTTAGAACGCAAGAGCTCACCTTTATTTTTGGTTTTTCTTTAAGGTATCTTACTTTAACCAAGGTTTTATGTGGTATTTTGATACAGCTCTTTGGTGAAAACCTGATTTATTTTAAAGAGGCACAAAATCATACAGTAGAAAATAGATTAGTTAGTGGCTTACGGTATTGGACTAGACTGAAGACAACCAGGTTAAGTCTATCTTCAGCCATAGAGGCTCCCTGGATGAGCCTCTATGAGGCTCACTGTCAATCAGTGTCTCTTAGCCAACCCACTTCATAGGGTTGTTGCTGTGGAAATTTTGGAAGAGAGTGCTTTGTACATTGCTCCTAGGGAAAAGAATATAACATGCATACATACATACAGAATTTCCAGGTTTTGAACTTGGGTTTTCCTGATTTTTGTCCAGTGTTTTAATAACTTTACTGTTTTGGTTCTTATGTATTTATAGTTGTGCACATCAACCTGAAAAGAACTATATTACCTGTTATCACTGTAGCTGTCTATGTTGTATATTGTGTAGTTCTTCTAAAACAACTCTTAACTCTGCTTTTATTACAGATGACTATTCTCGAGTGAAGCTGAGCCTGCTGGATGGACAACCCCATTCTGATTATATCAATGCCAACTTTGTGCCAGTGAGTTCCTGTACATTATCTTGGTCCCACATTTAATATTAGGAACATTATGTTAGTGTCCCTGTAATAAGAACTTCATGTGAAATTTTACAAATGAATGTAACCATTTATCAGAGCTGGCTTTCTGATAGAAAATCCCAGGGAATAGAATATACGACTATTAATTGCATTAGAACTGAGCACAATTTACAAAAGAAAATTGAGAGAGATGTGGCTGACAAGCAGTAGGACAGTAGAAAATTGGGAGGCAAAATCGTGTGCAATACATTAAGACAACTGTGGTGCCCCTGTCCATATAATATCAGTAGTATATAATAATGGCAATAAGCAAAGCATAACTAAAATAAGAGATTTAACTACAATTAGAGGGCATAGGAATCACATCGTTCAAAACTATCTAGAGTTTCTTTTTAATTCTAATTACATCCCTGTTGTTAACTATCTTTATCCTTTATGTAGTCATAGAAGATCCAGTATTTCTCTTCAGTGAGAAAAAATACAAAGATTATACCAAGCCCAACAAGGCAAAATAAAAGAAAAGGAGGCTAAAAAAGGAAGATAAAGCTTTGTGTGCCAGATGTCCTGTTCATAACTTGTTGAGAAGGCAACTCCAGATATAAACATTCTTTCCTGGATAGATTTTTCTCCTTAATCTGTCTTTAAGTTAAAGTTTGACATCTCAAATATGTCATCTACTGGCGTTATAACCAAAAAAGACTCTCATGTTTGAGCTTTCAAGCAGCAAATGAATTATTACATTTTTCTTTTTCTTTTTTTATTTAAAAATGTAAAGCTTCTGTTGTAAGAGAGTTGGGGTGTGTGTGACATCACAGCATCTAATAAGAGTCATGTAAATTCAGTTTTTTCTTAAACATGCAGAAATTGGATTTTTTCACCAGAGGTTAATCCTAGAGAAGAATAGGTGTGTTTGGATTTAATGCAGCAAGGGCTCTCCTGGAGCAGCCCTGTTGCTCTAAACATGTTGCTTCTCTCTTCTTTTTTTCTTGCTAATTACAGCTGTATGTTAAAAAGCTTGGATGTATCCTCATGCCTCTCTGGTGATCTATCCAGGTAAAGGCTACCCTCCATCCCCAGCCCCCCACCTGTATGTGTGTGCATGCAGTAATTTATATTTGCATGCACATGCCTGTCTAGTTATACATGGACAGTGTATTTATTTGCACAGCAGTCATGTTTGCATGCCTGTGTTAGAATAACTGTGCTTAACTTGCACATTACCTTTTTCACGTAGGATCAAATTTCCTTAGCAAAAGTAAAACTGTATCGCCTTTACATTCTGCACTGGCTTAAAGCAATTGGCTAGCCACTGCTGGAAAGAAGCTATGGGATGAAAATGATCCTGTCATCCCTACAGATCCTTGGTCTTCCCTGTCCACCCAAACAGTTCTCTTGCTTTACTACTCTAGGCAGTGGGAGGCATGGTAGAAATAACAGCTTTTAACTTTCCCCCCATATTATTGTCCATTCAATTTTACGTTCCTGGCCACCACACTTTAGACCAGTGTTTCTCTACCTCAGCAACTTTAACATATATGGACTTCCAACTCCTGGGGAATTCTGGGAATTGAAGTCCATACATCTTAAAGTTGCTAAAATTAAACAAATAATTATCCATCATAACTAGAGATGAGATTAGATGGAGACACATCTGGCCCGTGGGCCGGCAGCTTGACACTTCTGATATACAGTAAGCTGAAATTGATGATCTGAATGTCTAGTTTCTGCTACAGAAAATGAACCTTCATTGTAAGTCTATAGTGGTGGCAGAGCATTCTAGTATCCCTGCAGGTGGGACCATACATCTCTAGAGTGTAACCATATATCTACTTCTTGCTAGAGACTATTTTCTGCAGAACCTTCCAGCCAGGAAGGTTCTGTCTTGTGATACCTCCTAGTTGGCATAGGTGTCCAGAACTTTATGCCAAGGTATTTCATCACTTCTAGAGCTTCCAGCTACCACTTGAAAACTTTTCATTGAGATCTCCAAGCATCTCTGGGATCTTTGAACTTTGTCAATGTCTCTTAGTATACCTGTTAGCCATACAGTAATCCCACTCTGGGTGAGAATGGGACATTATTCACATTAGCATCTATCATAAAAATGAAGGTGTGCCTAGATTATTTGACCCTGCCTAACCTATCTGTGCTCTGGGGGATGAGTTGGTATAGCTGTTTGGCCCCTAGCAAAGATGGATGCAACAAGGGAGGCCCTTATGACTAAGGCCAAAGTCTTGTGCATTCCCACTAAAACAAAAATCCCTTCTGCTGTTCCTCAGGGGTTTGGAGATGCGTTCCATATCTTTACTGTCTGTCCCAAAACCAGAGCTGCCATAGAAAAACTACTGGGGGGGTGTGTCTTGAGAATGTCTAGAATGCCTATGGAGAATCCCACCCTAGAGCCTTTATTCTTCTAAAAATTTTTACTAAAGATCATGCAAAATAGAAAACATGTGATGTTAGCTACTGAGAATACCTCTCCCAGAGAAAAAAATGAAACTGCCAAAGCAGGAATTCACAGTTTTAATGTTAGGGAGAACCTTTAGTCAAGACAGATCAAATACCTCTCCAAGCCAGCAAGAGAACAGCCAATCCATTGATTTGCAAAAGGGGGAATTTAAACTTGGACCATAGTCCAGAATATATGGGTTGATTCTTGTGTACTGTCATATGTGGCTTCATACATAAAGAAACGAATGAAGCTTGTGAGCTTTCTGCCACAAGTTAGTTATACTAGTTCCTGTATAATGTAATATTTGGAGAGTTGAGATTTTCATCTTTACCTCTGGCAGTTCCATGAGGAGGGTATTGCATAGTTTTCAAAGTAGTAGCTTTTTGAAAACAACTGATGGATTTAGTGAATGGCTATTGGTCTCCTTCCCACTCCCTTCCTCCTCATCCAATGTCCTGGAGAGAGGTAACTGATTAACATGCAATATAAAGTAGTTACAGAGTGTTTCTCCTTTATTCTGATGACCTGTGCTTGATATGTTGAGGCTAAGGTCTCCAGATGAAAGGGGGTATAGAATGGGGGAAGACAGTGTTTAATAAATAAGCTATGGCTTTGGGTGAAATATCCTGGGGTCATCAACCCAAGTCATTCGAAAGGTCCTCTAGCATAATCCCAGTGAACAGCCCATGCAACTGTTGGCATCTTATGCTTGACCTTGATCTTCAGGGAAATAACAGAAAAATAAGAAGGGAAAAAAGGAAATTAAGATTAAGAGTCTGTTGTGAAGCTGACATGTTGTGGAGGAAGGACTATGCTGTCTCCTTTTGCAGGAAGCAATGTGAAATCTAGTCCAAGTCTGCCTCCTGCCTTAGGATGACCCAGCTCCATGTACTTATGCATACATAACTAGTGACGCATGTAGATTCCTGTCTAGTTTGGACACACAAAAAATCCTTTAGCAGAATTTAGTGGAATTTTCAGAGTTCTTTTGGATAAAGCGTCATGTAGTTCTGGGAAACTTCAGTGATAGAAACAACAAAGAAATTGATTAATAAATCATTGTGGAGCATCCTCTTCTTCAGATAACATTGGGTTAGTTCCATTCACTTTATCTTGCCAGTCAATCTTTCTTTCATCAAAGGAACTATTATTAAAAAGGATCATTTTTCCTTCTCTACTTGCTGTACTGTACATTAAATCATTTCTGTATAATGTGGGACATGAAGGAAGGATGGATTTTAAGTTTTTAGTTATGTTGCTCCTTGATTATTAAATATTTTAAAAGAATGTTCAGCAATTGTTGATTAATTGGAAAGTTGATTCTTTAGGACTGGGATTTTACAGAATTAGGACATCAATTATAAAATCTCAGAAGATCATTTGAAGGGGGCTGATTACATCGACATTCTACTTAAGAATTTAAAAGACTTCCTATGCATAATGCACAAAAAATTAATAGAGAGTGAGATATATCAAACATTTGCTAGTTCATATCCATATTTATATTAAGATTTAACATTACAACAGGAGAGAAAGAGAGTCTTCAAGATGAGGAGAATGAGGAGAATGAGGAATGCTTTCTATGTTTCTGCCTCCCAAAAAAAATACTCAGTTTAATTATTGAAAGCTTTGTCTGTTGTTGCAGGGTTTTAACTCCCCACAGGAGTTCATTGCTACCCAAGGACCTTTGAAAAAAACTCTGGATGATTTTTGGAGACTGGTATGGGAGCAGAACATCTGTACTATTGTGATGTTGACAGTGGGCATGGAGAATGGACGGGTAGGTCTGGTGAACACCTGTTTTGGTATACAGAGGAAATTATTATTCCTCACTCTGACACATCAATGGTCCTGAATAAATATGAGGGAGGGAGATTTATTTTCATGAATATTCTCAGAATCCTATTTTTTCTAGATCTAACAAGGTTAGATTAAACCTTGTATGCAGAAACTTAACATATTCCTAAGATTTCTGTTTAAAATGATGGATTGTAGTTATATTGAGTTAGTGGGGTGAGCAAGTTATTTCAAAACATTTGTTGTGGAAAAAAGCATTTGTTTGAATTACTGTACATTGGTTTTATATAATGCAGCTGGTCACAAAGTAAATTTGGATTTACAGGTAGATTTCTGGACAATATGTGGTAGATAAGCAAGAATTTTCATTGCCCAGTTATTTTCTTATCATTTGTGGTCTTATATCATTGTTTCATTTTCACTCTCTGTAATTCTGACAAGTAAAATATGAATATTAGCTGACTCTGGTCTCCCATACCCTTCCATCTGTTTTTGATTGATGGAAAAATCAGCCTATCCCTACTATGTGGTATATACATTACACAAAGCATCTTGAACAAGGACAGCCAGCAACAATATGCTTTAGTGCTGGCTATTTTCTATTAACATTGTTTGAACTACTCTTTCTTCTAAACCTTTGAAAATGTGCATTCAGTCCTTCTATTTTTTATAGGTATTATGTGAATACTACTGGCCAACAGACATCTCTCCTGTCTCTTCTGGAGAAATTAGCATTCATCTGCTTGCTCAGAATTTTGCTGATGAGTGGACAACACGGGAATTTAAATTGCAGCATGTAAGTGGAAGCCCTGCAAAGTGCTCCCAAATCTTCCCAAATCAAAACAGCGAACAGGTTCTGTTAATCATTGTGCTATAATATTGATTCTTACTAATAGGGCCTGGATTAACTTTCTTGACTGCAATAGTTGAAATCCACCAAAATTATCTCATATAGTACCAGGTCAAGGCTCTATCACCTGCAATTTCAATATTAGGACCTAGTCCGTGGTATAACATGTGATAGCACAGTCATTTGATTCTGCCAGACTGTTACTCTCTTTGTTGGCCCAGACCATCTCTGTTAACTGACTTCCTGTCATAGACATTAATATAGTCCTTTCCTATCACAGAAAGGACTAAATATGGAACGAAGACTGAGTCACTTACACTACACAGCATGGCCTAATCATGGTGTTCCTGAGTCTACCATCTCCATGATTGCTTTCATAGAGCTGGTACGAGCACACATGCAGAGTGTAAATGAATGTGGACCTATCCTGGTGCATGGTAGGTAAGTTGCAATCAACCCACATGAATGCTCTTTTTTATAATAGAATATTTCAGTTAAAAACAAGACCTAAACTTCCAAAATCACCCTCAAAGTCATTCCTGTTCAGTAAAGTGATGTGTCTCTTTACTTATCAATCCTCAGCCTCCAGAAATGTTAAGTATAACTCTTGCCTATGAAAATACAGCCCATGCTAGGAAAAAAAAGGAATGCCTTTTAACCATGGTGACAAGAAAGTCTAAATTACAGGAACTGTGTTACATCTTCCTCATTTTCTGAAGGAACAGGAGTTCTTGTCCGGTTCCCTTGTTTGTTGGATTTTGAAAGAATGGAGGTGAGAATGGGTAAAATGAACAAAAATGTGAAACTTTTTGCTGAGAAAATCCCTCATTTCCCTTCTATTGCAGTGCAGGAGTGGGCCGCACAGGCACCTTCATTGCCCTTGATCGGCTCCTACAGCAGTTAAAGCATGAGAAGCTGGTTGATATCTTCAATACCGTTTACAGTCTTCGAATGAATCGGCATTGCATGATAGAGACGCTGGTGAGAAAACCTGGACCTCTCTTTTAGATCTGCAACTATCCAGCTATTTAAGGATACGAGAAAGTCTTTTCTTTCCCATGAAATTTGTCACCAGTGGAGGTGGTGAAATTATAGTGGAAAGGAATCCTTTGTTATGAAGAGGAACTTAAAACCTTAGTAATGAGAACTGATGATTACCAAGCTAAAATAGATGAAAGAATTATTACATTGGAATGAGTAGACTATGATCCACATACAATTTGCTGTCCTTTTTGTGTGGCTGTTTGCGGCCCCTGAGATGATGCTAAAGATGAGTTGCAAAACCGTGTCCCGCCAATTTTCAGCAGGAAACAAATGGAAATATTGTTAGAGATCAGAGACATGTTCCAGATGTTATAAGAAGCAGATATTACAGAGTGAAGACTCGGTAGGAAATTGTGCTACATAGAAAATGTGAGAAGACATGGTATGGGAGACCCTATCAAATCTAGAGTTTATTCACAGTATCACCAATTGGATTGCAGTCTTTCAAACTTGTCCTTCTTATCATTGTCTCTTACTTAAATACCCAGGGTTGAACTTTTCTGTAGTTTTGATAATCCATACAGGGGATAAAAACTCTCAGTTTTGCACCTCAGTAGCATTAGATGTAACATTTCTGTTTCAAAATGTGCTGTGTAGATAACCATATATTTTTCCCAGGGGCAATACATTTTCCTGCATAGCTGCATCCTAGAGAAGATCTCTGAAGATCCACTCATTGGCCTGTCAGAGATGTAAGTTTCTTCTCCACATGAAATCCTTCTTAGGTTCCCCATCATAGCTATCATTCTTAGTCTAATAGTTCATGCCGTACAAAAGTTATCAATCATGGAAACTTTCCTTTGTCTTATCTTCAGGCAGATCAGCACTCTATTGTGCCAGATTATAGCTTGTACAAGTATAAGGCTAAGGGAAACAAAACTATAAACAATGTTTATTTCACATTGAGAAGGTTTTTTGGAAATCACATGTCCATGCAACATACTTATAGCAAACATTTTTGTCTTGCCCTGCATTACAATAACATCAGCTTCCTTTCAGTACAATTATAGAATTATCCACTTTTATTCTTAATCTTCATTAGTACTTTGCCCGATTATTGATGTCTGCTCTTTTTACCAATATAGTAATATCAATCAACAGTACCAGGTCTTTATAGCTGCTGATTTTTCTGATCAGTTGTCAGCTGATGTTAAATTACTGCAATCAGCAATTGAGTAAACTCATTTATTGTCTTTTCCAGCTCTCATCCAGTCTCTCTCAAAAGTTTTGCTCAGCATCATGCAAAAAACTGTTCTCAGTCCAATGCTGGCTTCCTAAAGGAATATGAGGTAAGATTTTGGCATAAGGATTTGAGTTTAGGGAAATTCTTCCTATGATGCACACATTATAAATCCATAGCAGAGGCCCAGGTTCAGAAACAGCATGACTAGATAGGGCTGAGAAGTATCCTTTCTGATGTCCTTAGAGCTCCAGTTAATCAATGTCCAAAGTAACTGGGTTAAACAAAACCTCAGCATATAATGTACTTTCTATATTTACTTTCCTATCTTGTTCTGTGTATTTATTCAAGTAGACTTTTTTCCCTCAACAGTTTTCATTTAAAAAATAAGATGTTGAATGCATGTAAGCTGCACATTCCAATCAATATGGCTTTTATTGTTGATGTTATCTGTTATAAATTATAGCCCTCCCCCCACAAACAACCAAGTGACTTACAGACCTTACAGTTTGGAAAGACTGTGGAGCATAGTGATTGTATTGATAGTTCCTACACCCACAGGGACAGGATTTTGCCAAGCCCTTTGTGTATGAAAAGTATGTCAGTAATCCAGAACTAACAATTTTCCAATCTTAATTTTCCTTTTCTACTGTATTGTCTTCAGCAGATGCTCTTGGAAGTTGCAAAAGAGGAAATAAATTCTGCCATACCACCCTCTGTCAATCAGCAAATCAATCTCGGCTCCAGCAAGATTCCATGTGAGTGATAAAGAGTTTTGTAGCCAGTAAAACATGTCTTAGATTTGTACTTAAGGAGAACAAAGGGCTTAGAGTCCAAGGTAATCATATGGAGGTAATCATATCAGCATAATTTGTGCTGTCCCCACAACATGCCTTTCATGTGCATTTAAACTGGGGTTATGCTGAGCTGTTGCCCTATGACCTTTCCAAATGACACTTTAAGGGCAGTAATTGAAAGTTTTCTCTGATTGAAGATTGCATTAATTTCATAAGCATGTCTGATGAAGTGCGGATAAGGTCTGGACATTCCAATCACTATTTTTGTTCTGTTGTTTTCTCTTCAAAGGACTTTTGCCCCTAGCAACTATTAAATGGTGGGAAATACTTTGTCTTTCTTAATTACAGTATATCCATTGTCTGGATTTGTGCAGCTGAGATTGGTTATTTGATAAGGCAGGTTGGAAAGGTGAAGTTGGAGAAATCAATTTACTGATCCCTGTGTCAAATTAAAGTATTCATCTGAAATATCCCCAGATCAGGGTCGCCCAAACACTCAAGCTATTCAGTCTCAGTAGAATTGAATCAGAAACAGTTTCTCCCCATCCAGACTTGCAAAGCCTCCAGGTACTTGAACTTTTAGCCATTCCAAGATCAAAAATATAATTGGGTATCATCAGCATACTAGTAATACCAAATCCCAAACCAGTTGATAACCTTGCCCAATATAAATATTGAAAAAGAGGGGAGAAAGAGTAGAACTCTGTGGCACCCCACAAAGAGGGAGGGGGCCCAGGGAACAATCCATGTGCAAATAACATTGATTAGAACAAAGGGAAGAAAGAAGGAGCAGCACTGTAAGATGATACCCCCATTCCCCAACTCACAGAGCTAGCTCAGAAGGATAGTATGATCAATAGTATGATAGTCCAGCAATTTGTAGGAAGTCATCGCTTTAGTTGTGGCTCTCCCTGAGGTCAGCCTTCCTCAGAAAAAAATTACAGCCTAAGCTGGAGACAGCAAAATCATTGACATAAAAAGGCTAATTGCTCTGAGACTTGTAGAGTCCATAGCAAGAACTATAACAATAAAGCTAAATTAACTAGGCGGAGATAAAAGAGATGGGATGATAGGTGTGGTGCTGGATGCGCTCAACTGAACATGATACATATGTCTTCCAACCATTGTCCTTCACACTAAGTCTGTTTTGCAGATGATCGCTCTAAAGTGAAGTTTTTACCACTGGATCGAGATCCATTCTCAGATCTTGCACATGTCTGGTTTATCCCTGTGAGTCCACCATACCTTATATTCTCTTCTTTCTGCTTTCTGTTATTGCAAAAGTATTTCTTTGCTGTTTGTTTCATTTATAAAAGGAATAATTTACATGCATGTAGATATTTTTTTCTATATTGCTTCTATTAATCTAAAAGGAATGTATTAATATATACTTTAAAAATACCATTCTCACCCCTATGAATGGTATGTGTCTTCCTCAATCTTAGGTCCTCTACCAGAGGCCTGGAAGTTTGAGGATTTTGTACAGGATCTAAACAGTTTCTAGTACTGAACTCTTCTGGATAGAGAGCTCTAATGTTGTACGAGGGATCTATTGGAACCACTCTTCCAGTTTAGGAGTTACAGCCACGAGTGCTCTTACCACCACTAGGACCACTTTGGTCTTTCTGTCTGTCTGAACACACACACACACACACACACACACACACACTGTATAAAGGCATTGTCATAGGATGTATGGTGCTCCAAGTTAAGCTGCATTTTGCACTTATTATTACACAATGTAGTTCTTGTCAAGATGGGAACAGATAATGGATTATGCAGAAAATCTTAGCTCAGTATGTCCATTAATAACATAGATATTGCTGAAGAAAATTCAATATCAAAGCATGCAAGCTAACATAAATCAGGGATCATTTGCAAATGCTTTTGAGGACATACTTAGAAATCCAAAGTATCTTGAAAATCTAGAGCAAGGATGTAAAAATATATCAATGTATACACTGTAAAAGGTAAGAATATCTTACGTCCAACAAGATACTATTTTTGCCAAATTGTTAAATGCCACTTTAGTTGCATTGGTAGAAATGTATTCAAAGCAAAAGAATTTTCAGCATTCCAGAAAGGCTACTAAAAGAATCCATAATTAAATCAACTTCTCTATGATGACAGTTACTATGTTTGGACATGTATACCTTGAGTAAAAGCAAGCAAAGGGGATATGATAAAAGTTTATACAATTATACTTGGTGTGGAAAAAGCTATTTTTTCCCATTTTCTATGATACTTTTTTGCTACCATTGACAAAGGATAAGATGATGCCCTTCTCCCTTCTGTTTCAGTGTGGAAACTAAACCTTATGTCATCACTGACATAACTTCTTTCATTTGTCTGTAGAGTAGTACTGTAGAATAACTTATGGATTAAGTGAGGAAAACTGAATGCTATATACATAGAGCCTTATCCTTCTGTATTCCCAGTTGCCGGCATATCCTGCCCAACCATTAGACTACTTATACTGGAGGCAGAAGATTTTGGTTCTAGTACTAGTTTCAGCAACTCCTGACACCCCATCCTGAGCACCTGTCATGTTGCATGGGAGAAGAGGCAGGTCCAGATATTGTATATTTACAACTTATTTGTGTAACTCACCTGCAGTTTTATAATGGTATGCTAAAACTTAGATCAGGGTTAGACAAGGTTTACCTTGTTATTCCAATGTTAGACCAAACTTACCTAGTATCATTTGCTTCCATAATTTTCTGCACTTTTTCTACAAGCAAATTATATAAACAAAGCAGTTGTGTTGCTAATTAATTTATGTCTTTTTAATATGACAGGGCTGCAATTCAGCCAAGGACTATATTGCTATAGATGGACCTGACAAGCTGGCCCTGGAGGAATTCTGGGGACTAGTCTGGGAACGTGGTGTCCATACTATCATCACTTTACTACCTAAGCAGATGAATAGTCCGGTAAGATAGTCATCATATAATTTCACAGAGAGGCCATTCTGGGATAATGATATGAAATGATTCATCAATGCATAATAATATGAGGAGTTTCTATTTAAGATTGGTGGAAATGCCACTAAGATACTTTCCTAGCTGCATAAGAGTCGTTCTTCCATGAAAGTGGGAATTGTGATGTTAATTCATGAAGAGGGCCAAAAGCTTGAGACATTCCTGTAGAGGTAACACCACCCTTCTTAGGAGAGTGGTGACTCATGGGAAAAAATCCCTGCTCACAGTCACTCTTGAAAAGCACTTGTGATGATGTATCTCACTGCTCTGGGAACTGCAATGGCTGTCAGGCAACTTCAGATGCAATTCAGATTCCTAATTGTCACCTTCAATGCCATATACTGTTTTGGTTATTTGTGCAAGCATCTCCGTTATTTATCTGCCCATGTGAGCCAATTGAATAGTGCCAGCTCCAACTTTCTATACGAGAACTTCACCAGATGTAACTTCAGAAATGGGCATTTTCAATTGTATTCCCACACTGGAATTCCTAGTTTGTTCCTTCCCTTCTGGATTTCAGGAGAGCACTTAAAGCCTGACTGTTCCAAACTGTGATTCAAGACTTGAACTTGACAGATGCATGATCGTGTATATTTCCTCTTTTTGTATTATGTTGATGTTGCATTTATTTTATGAGAGGGTTCATTTATTTTTCTTAAAGGTCAAAGAAAGTTTTTCCCTTTTTTTATATAGCTGCCTCAAGTTGGCGGTATGCAAATTATGTAATTAAATAACTATCCCTGCTGCCATTTTTATGAGTCTTTCTTAGGACTCCAATATGTCGAAGACTGTCTTGTTTATTAGCATCACCATGATAACGAAAGGACACCTGCTTTTTTAATGAACGGGAATGGGTTTTGAATGAGCTCTGCCAAAATATCCATGTGAGAAGCATTACTTCAGTAGCAGCCAATTACAATCATTTGACTGGGTAATCTGGTATTGTGAATTTTATGTGGGGTATAGGAAACTGATCGTATGGATCTTTTCTTGGCTCAAGGACTTTGAATAACCAGTAATTGCTATGCGATTAGTTCTACTTGGAAACATGGATTCGTAACTGCAGTGCTTTTTTTTTTTTTTTGTATAGGCTCCAGATAAGTCATGCTGGCCATCAGAGGGTGAACCTGTCTGCACAGAGATGCTCACCATACAGCAAGGGCCTGAAAAGATTATTTCAGGATGGCCTTGTGTTCAGCTCAGACTAAAATATGTACGTGAATTGGTTGGGAGGGGAAAGTGAACTGTCATGGAAACACGAACACCAAGGCACAGAGAGGGCTTGCTGGCACAGCATGTGGAAGTTTAAAATGAGCTTGACTAGAGATGCTTGTGAATTAACTAAATTTCAGAGGCTGAAGATGTCAACTTCCCTCTTTCCAGTTTGTGGCTCATGGTGGTAAATGGACATGTTTTTATTCTTCAGACAGCACTTCATTGTATTTGGAATTGCCAGTCAAGGCAAAGCTAGGAAGATAATGTGGGAGATGTTATATTTTCTTTGAAGGAGCTCAAGTGTTTTTTTTTCTTGGAGGAATTAAGTGGATCTGCTCATACTTAGAAACTAATTACTGTTTTAAGTGAAGAACACCCCTTCCCCAAGATCTAATAACATTCTGGATTTTGGGTTCTTTTTATTGTTTTTACATGCTTAGACTCTTGAAGCTTGGTTTTATTGTATGTGATTTGCATACCTTTGTCTTGTGAATATATATGCATACACACACACACACATAAATATTATATACACAACAGACAGAACTACAAGTTCTGATTATGTTTAATGCTGGTTGGAGATAGAGAAGTAAAAGCCCCAATAGCAGTTGTTTCCATGTGAAGGGAAAGTGAAAGTAAATGGAATCCTGTAGAATTAGTCAAATCCTGATTCTCCTTATGGTGATGAACGTGCACTGTCTCTATTTCTTTTGAACTCACAATGTGCTTATAGCTTACTCCTTCTCAGTGTACATAGGTTTATGAGTTACACTGAATTTTTAATTCATGAGCTGTGCTTTTGCTGATGATGTTTTCATTACTTTGTCAGGAGAAAAAAGCAAAGGAAAGACTGTTGCAACAGTTTCGATTTCCTTTGGGGGAAGGAGAAGATTTGCCAGATCCTGAGGTTCTGGTGGGCTTTCTCACTGTTGTCAGACAGCTAGTGCCGTACCGGAAGAGGACCAGCCCTTTAGTTCTGCATTGCAGGTAAGAGCCCAAATCCCATCCTGGGTCAAGGGTATCTTTCTTGGGTATCAGTCTTGGATTGGTAAATACCAAATACTCAGTGTTGTCTGGATTGGTTGTCAGTATACAGCAATTATATGGCAACCTCTCACTACTACTTCTTTCCCAGTTCGGGAGGCGTAGGCCAGATGGGGATACTCATTGCCTTAGATACTCTGCTGCAGCAGCTGAAAGGAGAGAAAAATGTGGATGTGTATGGTGTTGTTTTGAGGCTGGTGAGGAGCTGTTGTCTCATGACTCCATCATTGGTAAGTAAAGCAGAGAGCTGGATCATCAGTAGAAAGGTCCAGCCTCTAGACTCATCATGATTGCCATGTCATTAAAGCCAGCCCCTGCACAGGCCATTGTCCCCTTAACTGTGCTGATATCTTTTCTGATGATCAAATGTGCTTGTTTTAAATTAAAGTTAAAAGAAGCAAAAATATATTAGATATGTTTCAGAACATTCTTATTAGGAATATTTAAGATGCATTTTTGGCTTGTTCATCACTATGGCAGGAACAGATAATTGTTCTAGGTCAGCCTTATCCAATTGATGCCTTCCAGATATATTGGACTACACTGTAGCCATTGATGGCTCATGTCCATTCCCCATTCAGTGCAAAAGGAAATATACAATCTGGAGAAGAATTGCAGCTTGTCAAATCAAAATGTTTCAGTTAGAACGAGGAAAATATATGGACCATACTGTGAATAAATCACAGGCTTTTTATTGTGAAGACAAGATAAATGCGTATTTATTATATTGAATGATATATTGTAAACACTTTCAGTCATGTAAAATAAGTCAGTTCATCTATATTTAAAGTACAAATAAGATTGCAGCTTGAGCAGCTACAAGATTAAATTTTACGGGGAGTTGAAAGACAATACTGAATATAATATTGTGCCACCAGAGGGCATTGCATGCAATCTGTTTCCAGACTAAAAATTAAAATACTGATGTAAAATATGTACTGCATAGATTTTATATTTAGCTCTGTGACGCTTATGCAAGTTTATTTAATCAAAGAACTCCCTGGTCCTGCCTGCAGAATCCAACATGGAGGAGATCAGGTCAGAAATGACCATGATGTTTTAGCCTTGGAAATTTTCACATATGTAGCAAAGTGGTCAGTCTGTGGTTTGTTTTTTTCCTGCAATCATAAAACAGTAGCAGATGCTAGTGCTCATGCTGTTAGTATATGAAGCTCTTCATGCTACATTAGCAGTTCTGGCCTGAATTTCCTGTAATTTCCTGGACTTAATTCCAGTGTATGTTTCTCTCTCTCCCTCTCTCCCTTCCTCCCTCTTTTTTATAGTATCAATACAAATTTGTTAAAAAAAATCTTGTTTATCTGCATCATCTCATGTATTACGTGTCTCTTTCTCTCTCTCCCCCACTTCCTTTCCTCTAGGATAAATATATTTATCTATATGAATGCATTCGTGAGGTCATCACCCAGAAACAAGTTTAGGCTCTGGTCTGTGTTCCTGGTTAGATGATGGATAGAACTTCATTGTGCAGCAGAATTGTGGACATAGACTGAACTGGTGCTTTTCTGTGCTGAGATGAGCAGCTACCCCAGGGCTCTGACCTTGATCTGTGCAGAAGGTGAAATAATGAGTCTGTAAAAATGCTGGCTGTGATGTTCCACTCTTCCAGTTGCAGGAAGATCATTTCTGCTGACAGCAGACTTCTGTTCCTCAAGGCAGGGTTGTGCATGCCATAACAACTCATTCTTCATTCTGGATACACTGTTTGCTGAGGGGAAAAAATAGAAAAACCACCTCCTGAGCCTTCCCCAGTTTTGTTCAGTCCTTAAAATACAATAAACCATGTTGAATATGGATAGAGTTGGTAGGTTCAAGATGTTTCATGATGTCATTGTATAAATTTACAATAAGTACATTTCAGATAATATGGCTTTGTGACAAAAACAAATATAGCTGGAGAAGTTGCAAGAAGGGACGGTGGAATAAAGATCCAATGAGTCTCCTCCTCCCTCTGTTTTACATTTCTGATGTTGTGTTTTGGGCCTTTATAGCAATGAGAGCTTAAGTGCCGCACTTAAGTCCATGATACGAAATGGCATGGCAAAGATACCAGCATTTTTCCCCCTTATTTTGACACTTTCCAATACAAATAGGCTGAGTAAAATAGTTTACTGTTATCTAACTGACATGTTAACATTGGGATAATTCCAAATTAGTGGTGTATCTTCTTTCCACATTCACAAACAAATTATGCAGAAAGATAATTTTCCATATATAAAATTATTCATATTTTTAAAAACCACCCTAAACCTGGCTTTCTTACAAAGAGAAAGAGAGAAATATATTCTAAAGAGATGTGTTATTAGATCAAGTCTGGGAATCTAAAATTATAGGTAAATAAAAGAATGAATTAAAAGTTTACCAGATGAATTTTGGCAAAGAAGTTGTCAAAAAGGATATCCTTATAGAGAATATGAATAACTTATTGAATTTGGTATAAAAAAGATTTGCCTCAGCATTTGCCTAAATTCTTATTTAATGTAGAATAGGTTGAGAGATTAAAATTACAGAATGGTCTGGAAAAGATGATGCCAACTACAACCACCATCTTGCCTTATTTTTAATATTCCCAAAACGTGCCTAACTATTGTTGCAGATAAGGCAAGTTTTCCTAAGTCCCTTAATCCATATTCATGTGCAGAAGCAGCTAGAAAATATAGTCTCTAAAAAACTACTGCAAGGTCCATATTGCAAATTTATAACTTCCTCTGTTTCTCTTGAGTTCCATTCTTCACTTTGACTCTGGATTCCTGAATCTCACTTGGTTACAATCTCAAAGTGTGTAGCAAAGACAAGATTAAAACAACTTCAGTAGTAAGTTTTAGAGACACACCTGAAAGTTGGGCTTTTCCTCTTGTTTTGATCTACGATCCTATACTCATTGAGTGAAAGTAACTCATTGTACTAAACTGGATTTAATTATTCAAATTAAAATTCACAGAATTCCATAACAGGTTTTTTCTTATTCTAAAGCATTGTTCAAGAAATTTATTTTGAGTTTCATCAAATCCAGTTTTGCTTTTCTTTGACTTACCCTTAATTCCATTTCTTAAAGTTGTAACTTTAATTTTAAAATGGGATTGAACTATCCATTGGGAGAAGTGCATTTTTACAGATAGGTACGAGTTACCCCAATTTGTTGGGGAAAGTGGTTTTATATTAATAAATTATTCTATGAAAAATGAAATATTTTGCATTCAGTTTTGTCTAATTTCTTCATTGATGTTTATGCTAGGCAAAAAAAATTGTCATAATTTGCAATATGCATGGTGTTTCACTAGAAGACAAAGTTATCCTTAGTAGTCTTCTTCCAAAGGGCAAAGAAAAGACAGGGAGTTTTAGAAACAATGAATTCATATATCCAGGAAATGTAGGCTAGCACAAACCAGCAATCATGTGGCTTGACATGTAGTGTAGATCATAGCTTTCGTGGGACACACTTTCTAGACCAACTTTTTCCAGTGCAAGCTGTGAATTCTTGAGTACTCAAACATTTCTGGGACTGTCAACTTGGAAAGGGATACCTGGAGTTTACACTCTTAGAAATAGACATAGTAAAACAATGGGAGAGAAATAGATGGAGGTAGGTTGAACAGCAGTATTCTTTCAGCTATATGTAATTCAGCTTAGATCAAATATAGGTGGTCTTTGACATGATTGGTCACTCAGTGACCATTTGAAGTCATCATAGATCTCCCCATAGAACCCAGTTCCAACAGCCAACCCCCATCTCTGTGGGCACATGACAGCATTTTATGACAGTTTTTCCCCCCAAAAGCATTTACTTCTGGTTTTTGGCAAAGCCAGCCCATTGTGAACAATTGGTTCACTTAACAACCATTGCAAAAAAAGGTAATAAAATTGGTCAGTCACAGTGACCTGCATTTATGCAAGAAAAAACAATGTGCAGGTATAGAATAGGTGGTACCTGGCTCAATAGTAGTAACTTCAAAGAGAGATTTCTGAGTGGTAATGGATAATTACTTAAATATGAGCCAGCTGTGTACTGCAGCTACCAAAAAAGCACTTGAATATCAATACCACTTTATAATGCTTTGGTAAAACCACACTTGAAATATTGTATTCAGTTTTGGTCACCTCTAATATAAAAAAAAAGATGTTGAGACTCTAGAAAAAGTGCAAAGAAGAGCAACAAAGATGATTAGGGAATTGGAGGCTAAAACATATGAAGAAAAGTTGCAGGAATTGGGTATGTCTAGTTTAATGAAAAGGACTAGGGGTGTCATGATAGCAGTGTTGCAATATTTAAGAGGCTGCCACAAAGAGGAGGGGGATCAACCTATTCTCCAAAGCAATTGAAGGAAGAACAGGAAGCAATGGATGGAAACTAATCAAGGAGAGAACCAACCTAGAACTAAGGAGAAATTTCCTAACAGAACAATTAATCAGTGGAATGACTTGCCTCCAGAGTTGTAGGTGCCCAACACTGAGGTTTTTAAGAAGAGATTGGACAACCATTTGCCTGCCTCCTGCTTGACCAGGGGATTGGACTAGAACATACATGTCAAACTCGCGACGTCATGGAGCTTTTTTGCCATTGCCGGCAATGGGATGGGCACGGCTCTGGTATGATGAAACCGGCTCGCGGGCTGGCAGTTTGACAACCCTGGACTAGAAGATCTCCAAGGTCGCTTCCAAATTTGGTATTCTGTCATGACTTACAAGGCAGGCTTCATTACTGTTATAAGTCAAAGACTACTATTGTAAGTAGTCTTTCCAAACCCATTGCAGTTGAGATATTGATTGATTAACTGATTGATTATGTGCCATCAAGTCAACGTCGACTGTTAGCAACCACATAGATAAACCATCTCCAGAATGAACATTTGAGATAAATTTGATTATAATTTATTGACTCAAGGGGAGGCAGCACATAACTGATTCTGCTGGGTTCAAAAGCTAAACTGAGTTATGTCTGTATATCACTTGAATTAATAGGAAATCAAGAAAATATCTCAGATAAAAGGAATAGCAAACTACTTATTTACTATTGCCAAGAAAATAACATGGAAGTGAAGCCTGAGTTAAAAAAAAACCCACTTTTT